TGGCAGACAGACAGCGCTCCAGCTGGAGGAAAGAGAGGCGCAAAGCCCAGGACCAGTCCCGGCTGTCCTGTTTGAAGGACAGCAAGAAGGGCACGTGGCCGGAGGAAGCGCTGTGCATTGAGGACGCAGAGGACCACTGAGTCAGATGGCCGTATCCTAAAGGTTATGCGTGACCTTTCGGTTTTATGACTTTTAGGGAACATAGATCAAAACAGAACTTGCTGTCTGGCTGAATGTCAACTCTTTTTTTTTTTTATTAACATGGGCATTTTATTCCAGCTTAATGTTTTACCAGTGATTGATTGATTGATTGATTGGGGAGCCACACAGATGTTCTTTGCCTAACTTATTTATTGTGGTAACCTCTGAGCTCTTTTATACCAACTAATAAAGTGATTTATTTGAGGAGGAAGGTAAATGAGGATAACATATGTACCAGTTTGTTAGCTGTTTTAAAAAACAATCTTACTTTTATGCTTTATTTAGCAGTTATTCTAACATCTTACGAGAATTATGCATTCTTGATGATGTTTTCACAACCGAAAAGTTCTGAATTACTCCTTGTCTCAGTAAATTTTCCCAATTACCTTCTTTGAACAGAATTTTAATTTTCTTAGATAATAGAACAAAAAGCAACTAGATTAGTAAAACTTACATTGGGATTTCACCTCTATGGAGCATCTACTGCTAATTATGCAAGGTACTGTCATGGACAAAATGTTAAATGTCATTTTTTTCGATTAATGGCTGAGTTCCCAGAATGATTCATATCTTAGCCTATGATTTCATCCTTATTTAAGTGCTTAGACAGACAAATAAACACTTAGAGAAAGAGCAGAATAAAATGAAAAGGGAAGTAGAAATAATTCAAGAGAGTAACTGTCGAATTCAACTTCAAAGTGAGTGGTATGTTCGGTCTTCATTCAGAAGATCTGGTTTGTGTGACAAATCGGAATTCGTTTTGTCTGACCGTGACGTTGATAGTAGGGAAAGCACCCGCTTTCATTTTCAGAGTACTTTAAGAAAGCTCATCCTGAGAAAGGGGTTCTGGGATTGAGAGGCTGGACATGCCTTCTGTCTTCTCTCCCCTCGGGATTCCAGGGTACTCACCTGTCTGAGGCCAGGGGCTCAGAGGAATGCGAGGGACCGGGGCTGCGTCGGGTCCTGCACAGGGTGCAGGCTTCCTCCTGCCGCCGCCGAGGCCCTGGGGCCGGGCAGGAGAGCCTTCGGTGAGGCTCAGCACGTGGCAGAAAGAGCTCAGTCTGTAAACTTCTTCCCTCCTCTCGGACCTGAGTCCCAAAACGTAAATTTCTGTTCCATAATGCAGTACTAGTTAAAATCCCAACAGGACTTTTCAGGAGAATTATTTGAAATTATTTTAAAATTTAGTAAATATTTGATCATTTCTTGGATAAGTTCAGAAGAATGGATGCCTGAGAACAGGCAGGACAGGTCAAGCAAGAGCCTAGTGGTGACCATGGTCGGAGGGGGGTCTCCATCACCCAGCTCAGCACACTGTCACACCACAGGAGTGCTGTCAGCGTGACCCCAGCACCCTGTGGGGGAGATCAGGAGAGCAGCAGCAACAAAACAGCCTTCTCACCTCGTGTTCCTCACCCAAACCACAGACTGCAGAGCGCAGTTTCGGGGCCTGTCTCCTTGGCGTTGCCAAGGGCAGTGTATGTGAGCACCATCCTGGATGCGCCAGAGGGAGGTCCGCTGCTTCTGTGTAGTGCGGGTGGTCGCACTGGGGCTCATCTCTCCCTGAACCGTGGTGAGACTAGAGAACTCGGAACTGAGGATCAGATGTATGGCAAAGATGGGATTTGCCTTTGTGAGAGAAGGTTTTTGTTTTTTTCTTTAATGCTGGTCCAGGCCCAGTTGACTATCCTTGTAAAAGAAGATTGACTTGAACCCTCTTAGGTCACTTTGTATCCAAAAATAATTTTAGAAAACTTCAAGATTTAAATGTAAAAACCAAAACAACAATCTTAGAAGAAAATCTTGGATTCCGTATGTTAAAATTATAGATTGGGAAGAGCTTTTTAAACAAATCAGGAGACACAGAAATTAATTTTTTTAATTGACAGTATTACAGATGTTTGCCCCCCACCTCACCCCGTTGCTGCCCTCCACCCAGTGTCTGCCCTGCCCCAAGCCTTCGCCACACTAGTGTCTGTGGCGGTGGGCTTTGCATATATGCACGTGAGTTCTTTGGTTTGTCTCTTCCTGCCTCCAGCCCCTTCCCTCTGAGATCGGTCAGTCTGCTCCATGCCTCTGGACCATTGTGCTCCTTGGTTTATTTTGTACATTAGATTCCACATATGAGTGAGATCAAGTGATATTTGTCTTTATCTCATTGGCTTACTTCGTATAGCATAATACTCTTCAGGTCCATCCATGATGTCACAAAGGGTAAGAGATCCTTATTCTTTAAAAATTAAAAGTGGAACTGCCCTTTGACACAGGAGTTCATTTTTCAAAAGACAGATTACATAAAATGTAAAGTCTTTTATCTGATTTTTTTAAAAAGACACCTTAAATATATAATGTCAACATATAAAAATAGATTTTTAAAAGTTCTTAGAATACAAATGATAAATATTTAAGTGTCAGTAATAAAGTTCTCTTCCAAACTGATAGCACGTCTGGAAGCACAGTGGAAGGAAACAGCAAACGGCCGGAGGCAGCCCCAGGACGTGGGTCACGGAGCGGGAGCTCGGGTCGAGGGAGCAAGTGCCCCGCGTGGCCTGGGAGGGGACAGAGTCACTTGCCAAGGGACAGGAAGGGCTGTTCTGAGGCAAAGGGCACATCTGTATCATTGTCGGAAGGGTGGTGGCGTTGTCACGTCTTTGAACTGTGTACCTAGAATGAGTACGTTTGTATGTGTAAACCAGTCCTCAATAAAGTTGATTATAAGACTATAGTTGATACCCTTCAAGGGTAACGTTTGAAGGAAGTTAGTACCGACTGCTATGAGGGCTGTGGGTAAAAGGACATTCTCTCTTCCTGTCGAAAGGGAAATTTTTATATCCTTTATGGAAGTAACTTTCAAGCATCTTTTAAGATAAAAATTATACCTTCCAACCCAGCAGTCCTGTTTTTTGGACTCTTTCATAGGAATAAAAGTGCCAGTACGTAAAAGCACATACACGAATGTGTAAATGTAGCTTTCTCAGTGGCTATAACCTGAGTCTGGGTCAGTGCTCATTAGAATGGCTGACAGACCGCGGACCATCTCAATCATGAGATAGGACGCAGCCATTGGAAAGGACAGGCTAGCACTGCACGGGGTGGAAGGGTTTCCACGGGGTATCATTAAGAGAGAAAAGGCACACAAGAAAAACAAATGGGTTACTTAATTTTTTAAAAGCACATACAAGAAAAGCATTCAAGCATGCATTCCAGATCATAAGATGGCTTACCTAGGGTGAGAGAAAGTGTGGGGGGGTAAGCATGGCGAGGGAAACTAGTGCAAGAAATAAGTAAGATTTATAGGAAAACAATGCAAACACACACACACATAAAATACCATGTATCTCCATAAACAGAGAGAAAATGTTAGGTTTTTATATACTGTATTACAGGGATATTCAAAATATACATTCAAATTTACAAAGCATGTTGCAAAGTAGTGTTTATAACATGGTTTTATTGGAGTAAATAAACAAAAGAGCCTGTGCAGATGAGCTCTTGTTTCCAGATTTCTTCCAGTTTGTCTGAGAAACTTTCCAAATATCTTCCCCTTGACTTCCTGGCTCGTGAGGCGGATGCCGTTGACCTGGGCGTGTCCTGATCCTAGAGCAGGAAAATGGTGGGGTAGCTCTCCTGCCCCTACAGTGCCACTGGTTGGTCCCGAAGAGTGGGCGCTTCCCCAGGGCATCTGCACAGAAGGGCGGGTCCTTTTGATCCAATGGGTAGGACAATGAGAATTCAGTATTTCTAGCAGTGTTTTGCTCTAGCGTACGTTTCACTCTCTCTCTGACTTTGGAAGGTGAAAGTGTGCAGCTAACTCTGAAATGGGGCAAGTAGTAGGTGTAGGAGGAACACCTCATCTGTGGTTCACATTTCTTCCCATCGTGATGGGTACCTTTTGCACTTGAACAGCATTCCAGAGTGTGAACATACAGTGAATGGGTTAAGATTCACACGTACTGTAACCATTCGACCGTTACATAAATGTAAAGCATCTCATAAGATTAACCTTGTTCAACAAGACACCAAATCACAGCATCTTATTATGTAAGATATAAGTCTGACAAAGCACCCAGTCTGAGACCTAAATAATGCAAACAGTGTCGAATATCTGTATGATAAGTGCTTCCAAAGATTACTGGTATCCCATTCAACTTTGTCATTCCAAGTTCCCGAGAAGATAAAAAAAATAGTTCCAAACCTGATTAAAAAAAGAAAGAAATGGACCACTCCCGATCTAAGGATGATCTATCTGAATATGATCAAGAAAGGCAAAAAATTATTAGCTCACCTTTCATACTTGAGTGCTGTAAATTAACCAACTTTGAAAAATGCATGGGTTAATTGTATTTTTACCGTTGTATTTTTTGCACGGACGAACATTCAGTTAGCTGTGAATACTGAAATACTCATTTTTACATTAAAGGAAAAAGAATTGAATCAAAGAACAATTTATTAAAATAGATTTATTAATCCATCATTTTTAATTGAGCAGAAAAAATATATACACCCATACTATGTACATACATAATATATATAAAATGCCATTTTTTGTGAAGATTTTCTAGAGAATTTATGAATCCTAAAAGGTGCAGAGAATAAAGCTGTATTGGCATTAGTAAATGTTCATGGAATCAATATACGTGTAGGCGAGTTAATGTCATACACATGGGGGTGTTTTTAATACGAATTTTTCAATTTACAAAACATGGAGGAAATTGAAATGATTTATTCAAAACACCAATGTTTTAGAAATTAAAACAACTATTTGAATATCTTTCCCTTTCATCTTGGGTTTTAAACAGACCATATACTCCTATGAAAGGAGGGATCTCCAACGTGTGGTTCGACAGAGTGAGGATATCGAACGACTGCCCGGAGCACCTTGAGTCCATCGATGCCATGTGCCAGGTGCTGACAGAGTTGATTGATGACGAAGTGAACAGTGGCATCAAGAAGAACAGGATCTTAATAGGTAAGACCCTTGAATGTTGGCAGTTTAATTCTCCTACTTTTGCTCAATCCTGTACATTGAACCTGACTTGGGGTATTGTTTAGAGGCACTTGTATATCATTTGACCTGTTTATAGTTTCAGATAAACTTCATATACTAAGAGTTTCAAAGTGATTACAGTTATAAACAATAGCTCATAAAACGTGAGATTATTCGTCTTAGTTTTTTAAACAATTTATTTTAACTAGCTTAAGTTTTATAAATATGTTTAAAGTACTATTGCCACAATTAAAACAGAGAACATAGTCAGAAGATAACACTGAGTTTGTGGACAGTTAAGTCTTCAGAGTTAATATCACAGAAACAAGATACTTACAAACTTCTGTGAACTGACACTTAGCAACCTCTCTTCCCAGGGGATATAACGTACCTTTATGTAAACCCTTTGTTCTACTTATTGTCCGTTTTTTAATAATCATCAAATACACAAACTGTAATATCTCTGTTTCTGTAATACATACAACACTGAGATTGGATGTTTAGAACGTGCACGGTACAGAACATACTTTGGTGAAGGAATTTTATTTTCAAACATAACTAATTTATAATGAGTTTTGTTGATAATGAAATATAAAGCAAATTAAACATCTCTGTGATGTTCTAAATAACGTTAATATGTACTTAAAATCGCTGACAAGATCTGGATAAACCGGTAAACGTCTGTCGTGTTCACTGGAGTTCTGAGCTGCTCATGGGTTGAGAGGGACGTGCTGCAGTGGGCTCTCCCGCCTCGCTCGCCACTGCTGGTTCCACGTGCGTGCTCTCCAGTAGCATCGCCTTTGTGGCCCTATTTCTGCATCTGTAGTTAACTGTTTCTGCGTGTCTGTTTCTGTGTTTAACTCGAATAGAGACAAATCTGGAGCATCATGGGAGTGCTGGGAAGAACACAGGGAAGGTCACCCAATCCGGCTAGGGGTTCGACAGAATAATTACAAGGTGGAATTCAAAATGTGTGAATGTATGACCACTTCCATTACTCAATTGTTTACCGAATGTTTTCCAAGTTCCTGCTGTGTACCAGGCAGTGTTAGATGCTCCAAGGGGCACACAGCTAAGTAAAACCGGATCTATCTCCAGTTGCTTATGACCTGGAAGAGCCCATGAGGTACTTACAGCGGTCACTGTAAAGGGAGCGGCCAGTGAGGAGCGCCCGCAGCTGTGTGACTGCTCCCCAGAGAGAAGGCTCATGGGCATGCAGTTTTATTTCCCAGGATGCAACAGTCCCTGGCACGGAGCAGATGCGGAGGCCAGTGCTGAGTGGCATGGCCTGCTTAGGGAGTGGTGTGTTCAGTAACTAAGTACCACGGGAACTGAGAAGGCACCGTAGGTATCTGAGGGAGGCTGTAAGAGATGTCTAGTGGGAAGGAAGCAGGGACACTGGGGACTTGGAGATGCACAGATAAGTAAAATGGTAACTTCGTAGTGTAGAGGTTTGGGCATAGAGAACGGTACCAACAGTGCCCACGGCATGGTGGTGCTCGTTTTGTCTGGACCTTAAATGGCTTCAGCAGGAAGTTTGCTGTCTGAACGGAAAATGCCTTGTTGACTCTGGGATCTGGACCGAGAGGCTGAGGACATCATAACATGGTGACAGGAGCAGTTCCAGTCTAGAGCCTACCGGAGCCTGACCGGTTCACCACTTTCGGCCTCCACGGGATTCTGCTGCCGCATCCGAAGGGAGGTAATAATAGTCATGTGTTTACTGGGAGGTGATGTTTGGAAAGCACTCGGCTCCTTCTGGGCTCTCAATAAATGCTTTCTGTTTTCCCTTTCACCCTTTATTCCGTAGCTAGTTGGTGAGGGTAATTAAAGAAGGTCTTCGCGTCCTCTTGTTCACGAGAACTTGCTCTGGGAAACCGACCTGGCGGCAGGAGCGAGTGAAGACCTTTGAAGCTGGGCGGGACATGCCGGTCGCCGAGCCGGCTCTGAGGAGGGTGAGGTTCTGAAGCAGTGTGAGGAGGAGGAGGAGGTTAGGGTAAGAGTTGCTTTAAAAAAATTACAACTCTGTATCCATAAAAAAGTAGAAAAATATTCTAATTAGCACTCTTAATTTATATGTTAACAGGGTTTAAGTACTATTCCTAACATTTTAATGAAGGAGGGATTCAATGAGAAGTCACAGAAAAATAACTTTGAGATTCTGAACAATGTTATTAAATACTCACACACCATAATGAGGTTACGTTATTTTAAACAATCAACTCTGCGCCCAGTCTGTGTGGTTCAGTGGACTGAGTGTCGTCCCATGGACTGAGAGGTCCCAGTTCCATTCCTGGTCAGGGCACATGCCCAGGTTGCAGACTCAGTCCCTAGTAGGGGGCGTGCAGGAGGCAGCCGATCGATGTTTCTCTCTCACATCCTTGTTTCTATCTCTCTCTCCCTAAAACATCAATAAAAACATTAAAAATAAATAAAAATAAATTATGAGAGCAAAAACTAGAAAATTATGATTGAAAAGGAAAAAATGGAGATAATAGATACATAAGTTGTCCGTATTGATTTTAATATGTGATAAAACTTCCAGTTTAATATCACACAGAATACACTCTGAGATTATAACTGCAACCAGTGTAACTTTGTAAACAAAACTAGTCTCTGTATTTGAGTAGGTGGGAGCCCATTCTTTTCCCATGGTTTTATTTTGATTAGTGGCCTTTTATGGTATTGAACTTAGTGTTTTAAAAACAATTTTTTATAGTATCCAACTTTCTCTGGGTAGTCCACCTAGCTTGATCAAGTTAAACATGGTACTTCTCATACTAAAGTCAGTCTCCACGGTGTTCATAAAATTTTTAAGCCCGGAGCACCAAAATAATCTCTCAGAAAATGTACAGTCTAATGAGGGAGTAGAGCATCGAGTGTCCGAACACAGTGCAAGTGTGGCTGTGAGCTGTGCCGCGGTCCAGAGTGAGCAGGGAGGCAGGAACAAGGACGCTTTCAGGGAGCCAGGCCCCGCTTCTCCTCGGCGTGACTCCAGCCAGGCGAAGGATGAGTCAGACGTGGCTCAGCGGGAGGCACGGCCATGGGGGAGGCAAGGGCCACATCGGACCCTCAGCAAACACCAGCTTGGTGTCCGCACAACCCCTAGGAGTTCTGCGTCGTGCAGAGAGTGCATGACGGGTATGCCTTTTAGGAAGGTGTACCTACAGCACCCCGGAGGCCGGCCAGCGTGAAGCCAAACAGCCAGGTGCGGAGGCTGGAGCCCGCAGAGGGACGGGGCTGGCGCACTGTCGGGGCTTGGACTCGACACGTGCGAGGACACGAGGACATCAGAGTGACTGCAGGTGTTCGCTGCGGAAACAAACTGTTTTCTAGTCTTTGTCAGTGGAAACAGGGCTTTCCTGTGGGGAGGTGCACCAGGGGTGACAGGGAGAAGTGACCAGGGCTCACCCCCAGTGCAGTGTCCGAGGCAGAGGCTGTTCGGTGCGCTGGCCTCTTGCGGACGTTTGCGAATCCTCGCTCTCTACACGGAGTATCAGACAGAAGTTTGTTTATTTAGTTGTGTACATTTACACCAAACATGATTCTACAGAAGGTATGATGAAAGGGGAGCACAGGCAATAAAACAGTGACTTTTGAATTACTTTCTCAATGTTGGCAATAGAGTTATAATAAAACCTGAGTCCAAGCCCTGTATTCTGAGAAAACTATTAGTGGTATTGCAGTGTCCGGTCTTCTGGTGTGATTAACGTGGGAGCGTGCAGGACGTAAGCATGTTGCAGATACAGCCTGCCCTGTCAGAGTCTGCCTCCCACTGCCCTCCTCCGCGTGCTTCCGTGTGATGAGAATCGGGGAGAGGCAGGTCACTCTCCTTGCGTGTGCTGTCGTGCTTAGAAAGTACATGTGGTAGTGATGCTTCCAAAATGGTTGGCATTTACATTACACTTGACGAGTTTTCAGTTGCCGTTATATATCATAATGTTTCATATTCATAAACTCTGTTTCATAGTTTAAAGTATATACGTTGCTTTCATCTACAGTCTCTCTCTTGAGCCTTGTAATGGGTAAAATGGGAACTTACTCTCATTTCAATTATGATGAAACTAAAAATCAAAGAGATTGCTGGCTAAGGCAAAATACAGTTGGGACTAGAACCCAGATCCAGGGACTCAGTCAAGGACTTAGTACAGAATGAGATTCCTTTTTTGGCCACTAGGTGGTGATGGTTTGTTAAGAGAAAATTGATATAATTTAGGTTTAAGTTTGATCTGGGATGTATAGAACCTGACAAATGCTATGACCAGATTATAAGAATGTTGATAATATGAGCACGCTATCAGACTTTTGAAGCAGGAAGAAGCAAATGCTTCTGGACGTATACCTGAGTAACTTACATGGATGCTGTAAATACCGCATCATGAGGGAAATGGTTAATGCAAATGAAGAGTATGTAACTACTAAATATTGTATATACTGTACACATAGAAGGCATTTAGTAAGTATACGTTCAGTGAATAAAAATGTAATTAGGGAGTTTTGTAGTTCTTTTTAAAGACTTTCAAGTCAGTATTACATGAAAAAGTTATACAATTATATATTCAGAATGTTTAACTGTTAATTTTTTAAAACATGTCAAACGTATGTATGAGTAGTGAGATTTTCAATGACTCATTTTATTTATTTCTGTCTGTATGGTGGAAACACTTTACATAATGGGTTTATACTAATACATTAATCATACAAGATTTAAAATAACAACAAAGGGATAATCGGAATTACCAAGATGAATCCTATAACCAGAATTTGCAGACTCTCTTGTCCTGACCGTATACAGATTTCTTCAGCAGCTCTCTGTTAGAGCTAAAACGTAGGCATGAGAGCATCCTACTTGCTGTAGCTCAGATGTGTCGTGATGGAACCGCTTATGTTGCTTCGACAACAGATGAGCACTTCGGAGCAGTGGACCTGCTGTTGTGCAGCTCACCTAGAAGGTGGCAGCACTTTGTTTATATGCAAACTGT